CTGGCTTTGCTTGTGCCTGGCCGGGTCTGATCTTCCTCATGTTCTAAGTGCGTAACGGCCATCACCGCTCCATTTACCCAAAATTTTAAACGCAAAGCAAGTTTGCTTGCGTCTTCTCCTGCCGGGACTTGTAAGAATAGACGATTCTGGAACCACTTGTTCTCCCAAACGAGAATGCTAGTTGAGGCCATAGCAATTTTAATCCTGTTCCTAATGTACGCGGACGCTGCCAAACGCTCGTCTTCATAATTTCTCATACACTCTTCAAGCATTCTTATATGCATACTTGGACGGAACGGATTTATTTCGACCATTTACTGGTAACGCATCGGCCGTAGATTCATTATTTGGAAGTACCGCTCTTCCTCCGTGACATATCGGATTCCCTCCTGTTTGGGAAAGCCGCGTGGTAGGACGAAGTTTAATCCTACCTGACTGCCGGGAGGTAAGAGAATCTGAATTGTGTCTGCGAACATCCCTGTTCGTGGGCAACCTCATTCACAAAGCATAACTCAAACTGCTCCACGTGAGCGTCCTACTTCACGCTTACCAGAACAGCCGAGTATCAGTTATTCTGCTCATCATGGGCGTCCTAGAAACTACACCTTCTACAGTAAAAATATTTCAGGCCAACGGCAGCCTATCCCAGGGCTCACTAAGAAATTTCAGCAAATGCATATCACTGACGTAACCGCTGAGGGACCCGATCGCAAACGAGCTGCGCTGGCGGATGATACCTCCGCGGCACAAAAGGCACTGGAAACCTTTCTACCGGAATGGATTATATATGGACCAGTGGCCAACCCAACCGGAGTTGCTATTCCTTTAGCATTATTTGATCCTCATGATATCTGCTGACGCACGTCAACTGATATCTCATTTTCCTCTTCCCGCCTGTGGTAGACAGATGCTGAACGACGGCGGCTACATTTTGGACATCTCTGCGCTCCGAAACTAGTACCTCACAGTCTCCTGCCACCGCACTTGCCCTGGCCGTGCTAGCTGTAAATAGCGCTGCTAAGTCCGTGTTGTGCCAGAGCTGTTCAGGTTGCTCCACGCCTCGTACGATCAACTGGCTATAATTGTGGATGAGAATTTTATCCAAAACATATATTTCCTCAGGATCTTGCGCTGAGTCAAATTCAACGCAGGTATCGGGATTTATATTGATTATAACGGTCCATATATAATGCTCAATGTTTCGGGATACAGTACTGTCCAGAACACTTTTGCTAACCCACCACCCACCAGGGACGCACTGGAACAGCCATGTCGATATCATCTCCGATCTAGAAACCGTCAATAAATTGTATAACATAAACAAAAAGGGAAGGGTGTATGCATTGATATCGGCGTCTTCACCGTTTTTGTTGAGGTTCGCGCCGTCTACTTAAAAGAAAAAGAGAGCACACATATATATCTAAATACATTTTTTTCAGATGTCTGCAAATCGCAAATCAAATATCGCCCATTACGGGCATCCTATTA